CGCCAAGCCCCCCTCGGCTGCTCTTGCCCACGGATGTGACCCGAGACGCCGCTTCTGCGAGCCACGTCCCCAGAGAGTGGAACAACCCGCAGCACCGTGACTCACCCCGCGATTGTGGCACTTTGTCTCCATCTCACATTTGTAGTTCAGGACAGCGGCCGGCACGCAGTGCTGGTTCAGGCAGATCTGCAGCACAAGCACACAGGCAACGCTGGGCAGCCAGCCGGGCGGTCACGCACCCAGCGCCCGCTCAGGAGAGCTGCAGATCTTTCGGGAACTCACAGGGGAGCATCAGGCTTCGTGCCGGACCCTGTCTGGAGGGGGTCACGCCACCCCCATCCATCCATCCCAGCTCCTTCAGGGTGGAGCCGACAGAGAAGCCACCAAGGGCCCCGATGCTGCTACTGCAGCGGTGCTTTCTCCAAGTCCTTCTCCTCCCAAGGGAGCAGCTACACGTCAGGGGATCGCTTACCTTGTGCTCATCGCAGACGGTGCCGTCGTTCACCAGCATGGGGTCCCTCTCCGTGAGCGGCTTCATGTAGTCCAACGTTACACACAGCGTGTTCTGCACCCGAGCATAAATCACCGCAGCCTTCTCCTTGGTGAAGGGCTTGGAGCCCGGATACTCACACACGAGCTTCCCGCATCGCAGATCCCTGCAAAGGCGTCGTGAGCAAAGGACGTGACAACAGCCACCTTCATCCTTCCATTCCAGCTCTGCTGCCAACACCGAGGGAGTGCTTGGAGAACAGACCCTGACCGCCCGATTCCCAGCACACGGACATGGCACGCTTGCGTCTGCCCCGGGCCCTTTCCATGCCCCCCCCAGCCCGTGCAGCTCACCGGCTCTGCACAGGCACGTCCAGCGCCCCTGCCCACCCCGGGGTGGCTCACTTCTCTGCTGCCGGGCGGCTGAGCTCGAGGAGCCCATCCACACTCCACCTCTTCCCTGCCTTGGGGCCACGCGCGAGGAGCCCACCCACACTCCACCTCTCCCCTGCCGTGGGGCCAGGCTCCCCGCTCCGTGGCAGACGGAGCTCCGGCTGTGGTCAGAGCACCCCGGCACCCTTGCTACAGCACTTACTTATACGCACAACGCTGGTAACCGCGGTGGTTGGAGCCACAGTGCCCCATTCTGTCCCTTTGGCTGTTAATTTCCTCATAGCAGGCCCAAGGCCCGTTCTTGGCACCTGCAAACACACACACCACCACCCATGGTCTGTCCAACAGCCTCGCTACATCTCAGGGCCGGGCATCACCACTCGGTGATCACCCGCTGCTCGGTGATGCCCGGGGCCACCTGCATGCTCACAGGCATTTGAAGCTGTGGCCATGTGGGAGCCCAGACCCAGCCTGCTCGCCCTCGCGCTCCCTGCAGCCTGCCGCGGTGGGATGCTCCAGCTGCCACCCATCTGCACCCCCCCATGCTCATCGGCTCCATGCCAGGCTTCCCCGGGACAGCCACAAGACCTTCCGGGACATTTCTGGGATTTGCATCCTCTGGCTGAGAGGACAGCACCCGCCGCCGGCCAGTCCCGTCCTGCACGGCAGTGTCCCCCACCGACTGCTCCCCCACCACTTCCAGCTACACACAGCTCCTTCGCTGCCAGCCTCCCCCCTACCCTGGCCGAAGACCTTCTGGCACTGCTTGTCGGCTGTCTGGCAGACGCCCCGGTAGCAGAAGGCAGTGTTCCTGCTGCAGGGGTGCCCGTTCATCACCCACAGGTCCGGTGTGCACTCCCCAGAGGTGCCGTTGCAATATTCCTTCAACTCGCACTCATCCTCGGAGCTGCTCCTACATAAGGTGCCTCTTTTCACAAACTAGGAGAAAGAAAATAGACTAGGTTAGAGTAGGAAGGGAAATAATAGGAAGAGAAATAATAGGAAGGGAAATAATAGGAAGGGAAATAATAGGAAGGGAAATAATAGGAAGGGAAATAATAGGAAGAGAAGAAATAGGAAGAGAAGAAATAGGAAGAGAAGAAATAGCAAGAGAAGAAATAGGAAGAGAAGAAATAGGAAGAGAAGAAATAGGAAGAGAGTGGAAGGGGAAGGGGAATAGAAGAGATAGAGAAGAGAAGAGATAGAGAAAGAGGTAGAGGAGGAGAAGAGGTAGAGGAGGAGAAAATTCAAATAGAACAGATTAGAACAGAATTTGGAGGAATGCCCAAATGCCTCTTCAACACTGACAGGCTCGGGGCATCGACCTCCTCTCCAGGAAGCCTGCAGTACCGGAGGGCTACGGCGCTGGAGGCGTTTGCGGTCGTCGTGGCCCGGCTGCTGGGGCTCAGCCTGGGGATGGCGCACGACACCCCCGGGAGCTGTGGCTGCGCGGGAGCTGCCCGCATAACGCAGGCCGGCGGGGGGTAAGGCTCCCTGCCCCTCGGCGCCCGGGCGGTGTCGGTGTGATGGCACAAGCTGCTGCCAAGGGCGCGATTCTCGTGTGCTGATTTCTGCTCGCGCTGCCTTTGCTGCAGCTCCCGCGGCCCCCGGCCGGCTCCTCGGCCCTGCCGCCCTCCCCTGCAGCCTGCGCGGCTCCTGGCGAGCGGGCGGACGTGCCACGGCTGACGGGGGTCACCCGGCCCCATGCAGCCCGCGCTGCCCAGCTGGGAAGGCTGAGCAGGGGAACGCCGCTACGAGCCTCCCGTGGCCATAAAGTCGGCATCTCCTCCACCTCGGTACTTTGGGAGCAGGCACGGTACCTGTGCCCTAAAAATACTTCCCTGGGACACAGGCACCTAACGGGCACCAGCACCTTGCTGCCCTCACTTCACTTCCCGACACGCGCTGACCCTCCACATCAGCGCGCCAGCCAGTGCCGTCGGCTGGAGGCATGGTCCCCGTTTTCCCCCTTGAGTCCCATGACATTCCCGCTTCACATCAGGCGTGTAAGCGAGCGATGCCGGCGCTGGGGCTATCCCTAGGGAACGCAGCGTGCCCGCTCCCGCCACACGGCTCACCTGGCATTTCCGGCAGCACGGTCCCGACAGGCACTGCACCCCTCTCCTCATCTTGCAGCCAACGGTGCAGCACGGGTCGCGCCGACATTCCTGGAGGTGACCGGTGGGGACAGTCAGGCGAGGTTCTGCTCCTCCCAGGGACAGCAAGGGAAGAAGCCGGAGAGCTTGGCCTTTCCCTCCGGCAGCCCCTGTCTCCTGAGGCAGCCATCTCCCAGGCTCTCCAGCAGCGCCCAGGGTCCCTGGACAGAGCCCCTCTGCCACACTGGCTGTCCCCAGCCACCAAGGCTCCCATGGCAGGACCGTATTTTCCATCCTCACAGCCATACGTGCTTGAAGCAGGGGGGAGCTATTGCCAGGGCTGGCAGCACTGGCAGGGACAGAGATCGCTTGCAGATGTGCACACACGGCTGCACCCAGGTTGGCACAAAACCAGGGGGGCTTCTAGCAAGGCAGAGGAGTTCACCTCTGCAAGGGGAGCACTGCTCCTCCACCAGACCTTCCCCGCTGCCCCCACCCCTGCCTATGCCCTGCCAGCGACCTGCACGACCGCCACAGCACCCCTGCCTTTTCGGGAGGCTGCACTCACGGAGTTTCTCCCCACATCATCACCACGTGCCACTCTGGTGTGCAAAACCGCTTCCCAAGCGGCATCTGCAGCAGGACCCCGTGGCAGGTCCCTGGGGTACCCCTCCCAGCACCATCTCAGGCTGTGTCCCTGCAGCAGGGGGGCTGGGGGCAGCCCCTCTTTATGGCTACAACCGCTTACAAACTCCCTCCCTCCATCCGATACCAACACCATGCGACGGCCCTCTGTGACGGTGGCTTCGGATGTGGTGGGAACCACAGCCAAGGGTCTGCACGGCTTTAGGGTTTCGTAAAGCCTCGGGCCCTCCCTGCCCTGGCAGAGGCCCAGGAGTAAGTCACACCTCTCCTGGGACTGTTCCTTCCCCCCGGGACGCATGGCTTGGCTCTTCCCTGCAGAACCAAGGCTCCCAGACTCACCTCTGCGGACCCGCAGTCACAAGCCTCTCCCGGCTCCACCACCTTGTTGCCGCACACGGGAGCTTTGTAGGCTGCCTCCATGG